TGTGCCTCGTGCTCCTTCCTGTGCAAAGGAGGTACGGGGACGGCGTGTTGTGGACCCTGGCAGAAGCACGGCGCACAACCCTGGCGGGGCAGTGCCCTAAAGCGATGAAACGTAGTGCTGCTTTGGGGAGCTCCGATTGGCCTTCACAGACAAGGACGACGAAACGTGACCAGGGTCGTCCGCCAGACCAGCTCGTCGTCGGCCGTGTTGGGAGGGCTCTTGCGGTTTGCTGGGCACGGTCGCCCTGCCGTGGGCGGGGCACTGACCCGTAACAGAAGAGCTGGGCAAGAGGCGGACAAGCACGGCGGACGACCCTGGCGGCCACGCCGCGGACAGTGGAGGCCTGGCGAGCGGACGACCCTACCGGGACATTAGCGGGCTGGCGAAGCCTGGCGGGCGACCCTGGCGGGGCAGCACGGCGGATGACCCTTGGGGCAGAGAAGCTGGCCTGGACAGGCAAAGCTCTACTCTACTGGCACTGCGATTGCAGAGAGCATGTTTGATTGGTCCTTCACAAAAAGAAGGACGACGAAACGCATTGGTGGGAAACAGCTGTGGAGGTTTTGGGTGGACCGTCTGGCTCTTCTGGGCAGGTCTCATTGGTCCTTCATAAAGAAGGACGACGAAAGGTACCGGCTCTGGTAACGTACTTGAATTGGCCTCCGTGCTTTCGCGGGGCACTGACCCGCATCCGGGACCACCCCTAGCGCAGCCTGGCGGAGGACCCCGGCAGTGGCCTGGGGTGGCGAAGCCTGGCCATGACTGGCAGAAGCGGCGCACAACGGCCTTGGCGAAGGCCCATCCTCACCACAGGCAGTGATCTGTTGGCGCCCTGGCTAGGCCTGGCGGCGAAGCTGGCGGGCGGCCCTTGCCGGAGGGTGCCGTGCGGCAGTGCCCAGCAAGCCGCGACCGGGCTGAGGCGGGGCACTCCTGGCAAGGCACCCTGGCGGCGAAGCCAGCGGGCACCCTCACAGCGACCCGATGTGGCAAAGGCCTGGCCATCCTCACCACAGTAGCCTTGGCCTGGCAGCAAAGTGGTAAAGGCTTTGTGGCGAAACGGCGACGAAGCTGGCGGGCGACCGGGCCTGGCGAAGGCCTGGCCATCCTCACCACGGGCAGTGATCCAAAGTTGGCAGAGCCTGGCCCGCATAAGAGAGGCTGGCCTGGCGGGCCACCCTGGCGGGCCTGGCGGTGAAGCTCGCGAGGCGACCGATGAAAACGTAATGCTGAGAGAAGCATCCGGGACCATCTTTAGTGGAGCTTTGCGGACAACCCTGACGTAGCTGGCCCGTATAAGAGAGCAAGGGTGGACTTTGGCAGGGACAAACGGACGACCCTGGTGCGGGAAACAGTGATCTGTTGACGATCCTGGCGGGGCGGCAAGGCCTGGCCGTCCTCACCAGGACAGTGATCCGAAGTTGCAGAGCGCGGACAATTTCGATTATAAGGCCTGGCACCCCCACCGTGAGCCTGGCGGAGCAGAGGCGGATGGTAGAGGCACGGCCACAGGCCAGGCCTGGCCATCCTCACCACGCGCAGTGATCCGAAGTTGGCAGAGCCTGGCCCGTGAGGCGGCCTGGCAGGGCACCCTGGCAGGCCTGGCGGCGCGGGCGACTGGCGGGGCTGGCAGGCGACCTGGCGGGGACTGGCAGGGTGGACCCTGGCAGAAGCATGCACGGCGCACAACCCTGGCAGGCAGTGCCCTAAAGCGATGAAAACGTAGTGCTGTTTTGGGGAGCCTTCACACGACAAAACGTGTCGAGGTGGACCAGGCTCGTCTGCCAAACCAGCTCGTCGTCGGCTGTGTTGGGAGCGCTCTTGCGGTGTTGCCCTGCCGTGTGGGCACTGACCCGTAACAGAAGCAAGAGGCGGACAAGCACGGCGGACGACCCTGGCAGGGCCACGCCGACCCTGGCAGGGCAGTGGAGGCGAAGGTCTGGCGGGACAAGCACGGCGGACGACTGGCGGGGCCACGCTGCGGGCAGTGGAGGCGAAGGTCTGGCGGGACAAGCACGACGGACGACTTTGGCGGGGCAGTGGCCTGGCGGGGCCTGGCAGGCGACCAGGCCGTGGAGGATCCGGGTCCAGCCGATGACCCTGGCAAAAGACTGCCGCGGACGCCGGCAGCTGGCGCAGCCTGGACGACCCTGGCGGGCAGATGCCGAACAAAAGCCGGCGCAAGAGGTCGGCAGGCAACCCTGGCGGGGCCGCCAGCGGCTGGCACTCCCCTGCCAGGGTCGTGCGCCGGGAGATAA